TGACGGGGTCTGGGGGAGGGTGTGGGTGACGGGGTCTGGGGGACGGTGTGGGAGACGGGGTCTGGGGGACGGTGTGGGTGATGGGGTCTGGGGGACGGTGTGGGAGATGGGGTCTGGGGGACAGTGTGGGAGACGGGATCTGGGGGACGGTGTGGAATAGAGAGGGAAAGGCAGAGAGAAATATTGATGTGAGAGAAACACATCGATTGGTTGCCTCCTTCACCCCAACCTCAGGGCCGGGGAGGAGCCTGCAACTGAGGTCCATGCCCTTGACCAGAATCAAACCCAGGACCCTTCGGTCCGCAGGCCGATGCTATCCACGGAGCCACACCGGCCCAGGCTCAGCGCTCTATTTTGGAGGCAGGGAGGGCAAATCCCCCGTCCTCCCGGCCTCTCCCTTTCCCGTGTCCTGTCTCCTGCTGTGGACATGGTCTCCCAGGATCCGGTCTCCCAGGATCCGGCCTCCCAGGATCCAGCCTCCCAGGATCCGGCCTCCCGATCCGGCCTCCCAGGATCCGGCCTCCCAGGATTCGGCCCCCCACAGCCAGCCTGCCCTTCACGCTGTGGCACTGCCTGGTCCAGACAGCCCGCCACGCGGTCCTTGGACACCGCGACTCGAACAGCGGTCGGTGCTGGAGGTGTCTTCGCAGCCCCTGAGTCACGTGAAACCCTGGGGGGTGCCTGAGGCCCCGTCTCTGTCACACTGACCGCCAAGAAACCCAGAGGCCCGCCCAGAGCGGCTGGTTTGCGGGAATTCCTGGGGTTTGGGACAAACCATGGGAGGGTCCAGGCTTCTTCTCTAGATTCTGGGTGGACCCTCTCAAGCAAGTTCGCCCACATCCTCAGAGACAGTCCGAGCTGGACCACCGGGGCCAGCTCAGACCCCCCTGCTGGGGAAACTGTGGCCTCAAGGAGAGGGATTGGCCCAAGGCCCCAGAGCATGTCAGGGCTGTGAGGACAGACCCCGACTTGAACCCCTGCCCCTCCTCTCGGTGGAGCGCCCCGGGACCCCCATCGCCTGGGGAGAAAGGCGGGGTCCCTCCACGGCCACGGCGGGGGCGGAGCCTGAGCAGCTGCCTCCCACGCTGGCTTCCTA